GGGGGGGGGAGAGCGTTTTCGGAAGTTGATTTTTTTTGTTCGGGGGAAGACTGTAGTCTGCACAAGGGGAGAATCCCAGTGCCAGAGATCTGGACAACAGCGAGCTTGTCCGATTCCTTCTGTTGGCAGTTGTGGGTAAATTTGCGGCAAATGGATATCAAAGTAACACTTGCATTTGTCTACCTACTGCGGCTGGGAGATCTCAGACCAGTTTTTGAAACTAGTCTGGGAGTTGTTTTGAATTGTATGTGAGCTCCTGTGTATTCTTTCTTTCCGAGTATGTTGAAGTTCTTCGTATATGCACACTGGTTTCTTATACCTCCCCATGTGTCTTGTTTGTCTTTGACATTTTGTACCAGGTGGTGTACTCGCTCTTCGTATTCCTTGTGATCACGCACAAGACTGGCTGCAATCTATTTTCGTTCAGACAGGAAGGCATGGAGGAGAAGGACACAGAGAAGGAGGAGGAGGAGGACTGGCAAAAACCCGTTATGGCGCTGAAGTGACAGCAGCACACGCGAATTCCATTGTGTTGTTGGAGTTGGATGTAAAGGATGTAGAAGGATCCAGAAGTTTTCGAGTGGACCGTGGAATAGATGTGAAAGTGCCGACGGAGAAGAGATTTCCGAGGTTTTCAAAGGATCTAGAAATGTCCCAACTGCTGCTGGACTTGCCGGGTGATCTTAGCGATTTGCCTTTGCATGTAATTGCAGGCAATGGGCACAGCGACGACAATCGGATGTTGCAAAATTCTGCTGATTACAGACAAGGAGTGGGTTACTTACGGAGGATTTCAAAGTGGATCGTCATGAGGTATTTGAAGCACTACTGCAGAAGACCTCGCCAATCTAGCATAGAGAAAAGCACTGAAGTCGGAGTTGGAATGAAGGATGGAACTGTCCGTTTGCGACGGCCAAGCCTCTCCTATCTTGTACGCAATATACTGGACTCCTTAGACCTCCGGCAGAGAATCCCCAGGAAGCAGACGAAAACGGCATCGCGGCAGGTGTTGTCGGATGTGATAAATCTTGCAGTTCAGAAGAACCGCGAAAAATTTGTAAGCGCTGGCGTTAATGAAAAGGGAAACAATCTGAGAAGAGGAAGAAGACAAATAACACCAGGAATGGGGTCGCCGGCAGCTCGTTCTGCAGAGGGTGGATTGAGTAAAACATCTAAGGTGAGAATGCTGCATGCCTCTCTGGAATCTTGGTTTCCCTTCTCTCTCTCTCTCTCTCTCTCTCTCTCTCTCTCTCTCTCTCTCTCTCTCTCTCTCTCTCTCTCTCTCTCTCTCTCTCTCTCTCTCT